TAGTGTTATCACCGCTGCAATCTGGCCTCGTCCAAATGGTTGGCTATGGCGACGGGCAATCCCGGTTTTGGTCATTCCGCTGGCAGGGGTGACTGGTGAAGGTTCGAACTGCATCGTTAGGTACTCAGGCTTGGCGACCTATACCAGCAAATTAAAGTGTGGAAGTGGGCATGATTGAAGGAGGAGAGTGTGGTTTTACGGTGAAGCTCCCACCAATCATTCCCCAGCTCAAAAGCCAGAAAACTCGATTCTTTCGCAATCACACTTTCATAATCTTGGTGGCTCGGACCACCGGATTTTCCCTCGCAATCGCCTCCTGGATGGCCACGTTGTAATCAAACAAACAGTCGTGGCGATCGGAGTGTTAAATAATCCTTTATGCGCTATAACTTAAATGCGGAAGCACAATTAACAATGATCGCATGTAAATTAAATCAATCAACTAAACAATGTTCATGATCATGGACTTTTAATTAAAATAGGAAAGATAGGACTTACTTGGTTCCATTGAAGATGTAATCTCTAAATTGAATGAATCAAGAATATAATGCTTCACCTCTCTGATCCGTATACCTTATTCACCTCCTGATGATACGGAGACTAGAAAACTTAGAGATTTGAAACCGTTAAGATCCCTAGAGTTTTCCTGGGTATTTATAGATGTGATGAGAAACCTTCTTTCAAGAGGAATGGGGAACCTCCTTTAGGAATAGAAATCCCTTTAGGAATGTGACCTCCTTTAGGAATAGAAATCCCTTTAGGATTGTGAGACCCATAACCTTATCCATTATACATCTTTTAACCCTTATAAACTTAAATTTTAATAGAATGAGAGGGAGGGAATTTCACCCAGTAATTCCGCCTTTACACATCACTAATCATCAACGTGAGTACCGTATGGAATTACAACCTTTATTATATAAATCATTGTTAGGAAATAATTATTTCTAACAGTCTCCCACTGATTCATATGAGTATGACACCTTAATTATATGAATCAACGTTAGGAATAAATTATTTCTAACAATCTCCCACTTGATTCATATATGCGTGACTTTACAATTTTCAATCCTTAATTTGAGCTCACTTAATACGAAAATGTAAAAGTCACCACCTTATCGAACTTTATTAACCGAATCATGGCGGTTACAGGCCTGACATAGCGTCCCGCTCCCTTCCATGTATCACAGTTAATAAGAATTCGGACCATAATAATAAGGTAAAATTCGAAAGTACCTTATTCCTTATGTCTTAAACAAGACCATTGTTATCACTTCTGAATTATGCATAAATAAGTGATCAACATCAACCATAACAAAATCAAAACCTGAATAGATATCTAAGAGTAACATCAACCATAACAAAATCCCTTTAGGAATGTGACCTCCCCTAATTATTTCCTAACACGGAGTATCTGTGCTTCATTGCTTGGAGCAGAACACCTCCCCACACTGGCACCGGAATCCCACTTGCCGAACTTTCCGCCGTCATCCCGCTCCCGAGCACCGGCAAACCGCAAACGTCCCTCGGCCTCTTCAAGGACCGAATCTCCGACGCCTCGAAAGCGTTTTTTTGTCTCCGATCTTTGCGGCGACCACGTCGGGTTAGATCTCAAGTCACAACCGCCGGAGAGTTTCGGATCTGAGCTCTTAAGTGATATGGCAGAAGTAGAAGACAGAACGCTGAATGTCCTTAGAGATAGATGCCTCAACGTTATTGTCTACCTTCTGTTATCATACAAAACGTTGGATGTGGAACCAAGATGAACTATACACTCAGAACTTGAAAAGACCCTTTTACCATTCAAATAAACGTCCACTTAACTAGAATATAACGGAAGGATCTCAATTGGAAAGATTTTAATAGTCGGATGGTTAAATTGTCCAAATTAAAAGTCAAAGACCAATTATGGAAAATCATCATACTCGGGGGACCATTGCTGGAATTAACTCCACATCTAATCTATACTATATATAAAAACAAAATCCTGAAATTTTTACTTCCCGCCCAATTCCTAAAAAATCGCTCATCCCAATAAAATATATTGATCTTTCCCATTCGTACAATAATTCTGGGTAAAAATTCTATTCTGAAATTATAAAATAGTGTAATACAATTCACTTTGCACATCTAATCTATACTATATATAAAAACAAAATCCTGAAATTTTAACTTCCCGCCCAATTCCTAAAAAATCTCTCCTCCCAATAAAATATATTGATCTTTCCCATTCATATAATAATTCTGGGTAAAAATTCTATTCTGAAATTATAAAATAGTGTAATACAATTCACTTTGCACATATAATCTATACTATATATAAAAACAAAATCCTGAAATTTTAACTTCCCGCCCAATTCCTAAAAAATCTCTCTTTCCCAATAAAATATATTAACTTCTACTTTCCCATTCGTACAATAATTCTGGGTAAAAATTATATTCTAAAATTATAAAATAGTGTAATACAATTCCCTTTGCACATCTAATCTATACTATATATAAAAACAAAATCCTGAAATTTTAAATTCCCTCCCAATTCCTAAAAAATCTCTCTTCCCAATAAAATATATTGATCTTTCCCATTCGTATAATAATTCTGGGTAAAAATTTTATTCTGCAATTATAAAATAGCGTAATACAATTCACTTTGCACATATAATCTATACTATATATAAATACAAAATCCTGAAATTTTAACTTTCCGCCCAATTCTAAAAAATCTCTCTTCCCAATAAAATATATTAACTTCTACTTTCACATTCGTACAATAATTCTTGGAAAAAATTCTATTCTAAAATTATAAAATAGTGTAATACAATTCCCTTTGCACATCTAATCTATATCTATATTATATATAAAAACAAAATCCTGAAATTTTAAATTCCCGCCCAATTCCTAAAAAAATCTCTCCTCCCAATAAAATATATTGATCTTTCTCATTCGTACAATAATTCTGGGTAAAAATTCTATTCTGAAATTATAAAATAGTGTAATACAATTCACTTTGCACATATAATCTATACTATATATAAAAACAAAATCCTGAAATTTTTACTTCCCGCCCAATTCCTAAAAAATCTCTTTTCCCAATAAAATATATTAACTTCTACTTTTCCATTCGTACAATAATTCTGGGTAAAAATTCTATTCTAAAATTATAAAATAGTGTAATACAATTCCCTTTGCACATCTAATCTATACTATATATAAAAACAAAATCCTGAAATTTTAACTTCCCGCCCAATTCCTAAAAAATCTCTCTTCCCAATAAAATATATTGATCTTTCCCAAAAACACAATGCTCACAAAACTGTAATTTACCCGTACCTGAACCACCAAGGAGACCTTTCTTGCTCAGGATATGCATGCCTTTCTCACTCATATGCCCCAGACGCATATGCCATAACTGAGTGAGATCCGCATCAGACACCGATGAGGATACCGCTACTGAACCTGTCACAGTACTGCCATGCAACACGTACAAGCTTCCAGAACGAGAAGCTTTCATGAGAACAAGAGAGCCTTTTATGACCTTCAGAACTCCACCTTCAGCTATGTACTTGCACCCCAAAGATTCCAACGTGCCCAAGGATATCAGATTGCGTTTCAAATCAAGAATATACCGAACATTGGTAAGAGTCCTGATAACGTTATCATGAGTTTTAATCTGCACACTTCCAATTCCACTAACCTTGCATTGGGTATCATTACCCAGCAAGACAACATCATCATCAACCGGTTCCAGAGAAACGAACCAGTTTTTGTGAGGACACATGTGGAATGTACAACCAGAGTCCAGAATCCACTCGGTTTCGCTCCGTTTGCAACCGGAGCTAACAGATAACAAAACATCGCCTTCTGAATCACTTTCAACAACACTAGCTTCAGCGGACTTATTTTCTCTCTCTTGCTTGTTTTTCAACTTAAAGCATTCAGTCACATCATGACCATGCTTCTTGCAGTACTTACAGGATTAGTTGGACTTATGTCCTTTGGACTTGGATCTAGAATTTTTATTGCTACTCCCTGATTCAAGTGAACGACCCCTTACGGTCAAGCCTTCACCTTTGTCCTCATACTTAATTTCAAAGTCAAACTTTTCTTTGGACAACAGGTTTGACTTAACATTGTCAAAAGTAAGGGTATCACTACTATTACCATACAACATAATTTCTTTGAAATGCATGTATGATTTAGGGAGAGAGACAAGCAATAAAACAGCACGATCCTCATCTTCAATTACGAAGTCAATATTCTCCAAGTCCAATAAAACAGAATTAAATTCATCCAAATGAGATTTAATCGAAGTACCTTCCGTCATGCGGATTGTGTACAGGCGCTCCTTCAGGCGTAGCTTGTTTGCCATAGTTTTGGCCATGTAAAGCGTATCCAGCTTGGACCATAAACCTGACGCAGTCGTCTCACTTAATACCTCACGTAGAACCTCTTTAGACAGGCACAAAAGAATGGTTGAACGTGCATTGTCATCCAAATCTTCCCAATCTTCATCTGTCATTGCAGCCGGTTTCTTCTTCTTCCCAGCTAGCGCTTTCTTCAAACCGTTCTGGGTTAGAACGGCTTCCATCTGAACCTTCCAGATAGAAAAGCTAATTTTCCCGTCGAACTTCTCGATATCGAACTTGGTGACAGTCGACATCTTTGAAAATAACTCTCAATAAACCACTCTGATACCACTTGTTAGGAATATAGCGGAATAATGCGGAAGCGAAGAATCGAAAATTGAGAATTATAGAAGTTAAATAATAGGGAAAATATGTAAACGAAGAAAATTATATAAATGACAAAATAAGAAGTTGCTAAATTGGGATAAGATATAATAAATATATATATTAATCTCAAAAGAGATTACAAAGAAATATATATATTTATAGGAATACACATGAGCTAAAAGACAAAGGGATGAAATCAATTCTAATTGATGTAAGGGATAAGAGGTGTGTTATTACAAACAAATGCAAAGCTATTTATACTAAAAATGAATGCTACATGTGCGGCAGTTGCGTGGAGTCCCAAAGAATTCGGTGAGGACATGCAAGAATGAAGACATGCTCTTTGACGTGGAAGAAGATTAGGATTTGAGCCACACAAATTAATTATTTCCTAACATTATTTAATTTAAATGCTAGGCTTTGCAATCTATTTCCACAACATATGGAATTTTTCAGTCTGTATATAGCTACTGGAACGACAAGGTATGAATTCTGCAGCATTAGAGTTTCATAATCCAATGAATTTTATATTTCATACTATACAGGCTTTCAATTACCTTTATTATTTTGATAATTTCACTGAAAACATAACTGCTAGCTAACATCTCTTATTTCCCATCAAATTTCTATCAATTGCCCGGGATTGACCATTTTTCTATCCGTTTAACAAATAGGAAGCACCAGGCTGGTGCACAGTGAGCTTTTTAATGAAACCAGCTGTGCATTGAATTGATTACAAGCAGAGTGTTCTTGAAATTCTTCATGGATTTTGAAGTATCTGGGCTTTTTTCTTTTGAAGTCATTAGTTTTTCTTTAACTCATTTATTTTATTTTTATCCTTTCATGTGAACAAGTATGGGCGACAGGGTCTTTCTTTTGGTATATAAAGATGCCCAATTTTTGGGTGGGGATGATATATAGTTATCTACAGCAGTTTCTTTGTATATATTGGGTTGTGCACCCACTTCAGTAGTTCCTGTCTGTTCCTTGAGAAGCTTGTAAGTTGTAACAAAATTTTTTATGTTGGGATGAGGTAGTGCTTGATGAGTAGATGGAATGGAAGTTATATATGCGGTCATAGAGTTCAAAAATTGTTGTAGGATTCTTTTCCATTTTTCTCTTTAATTTCTATCATTGTGTGACAATCTATTTGTATACTCATCATCCTCAAAATGTACCTGTGCTTGACAAATAGATGATATTGAAATTATATTTCTGCTCATTGAGAGCATAAAATCAGAATTAAGATTATTTTTTATTTTCTTTTTAATTTCCATTATTTTGTGACAATTTTTCTCTCTCATCATTATCAATATGGACTAGTGCTTAGTGTACAGATGATATGGAAGTTATATTTCTGCTCAGAGTTCATAAAATCCGCAATAAGATTTGTTTCCATTTTTTAAAATCCATTTTGAAAGATGAATTCTAATGCATTAATCTCCTTTTTTGGCTTTTCCATTTTGTTGTCTATCAGCGGGAACATTGGCAGAAGCCCATTCTTCGGCGCTTGCAGGTCATTGATGAACCCAGTATTAGCTATTAAATTGTTGTTGCAGTTCATATAATTATATTATTAGGCTTCCTTTTTTTACTTGAATTTTTTCTTTAACCAAATCTGATTGTCTACTGACAACTTACAACTATTTTTGCAGCCTCCTCCACCAGTTAATGATACCAACCCATATAATGTATTTAGGCCAAGGGAAAAGGCTCACAGACTCCACACAAGAAGGGTATGTGACTTAAATGGCGTTGTCTTATTTCTTTGTTGTGAGTTTTCTGCTGCATTAATTTTAAAATTCTAAGGTGTTACTGTTGTACTGATGGTGTTTGTATTTTCTACCTTCCCCAGATGCAAAGGAGGGAAAACAATGTTCAATCATTTGAAAAGCTTCGCCAGGTGAGCTTATGGACCATTTATCTTTTCAGTTTGTGGTTTGGCCTCCCTTCTTTCAGTTAATATTACATCTTAGTCAATATCAAAACCAACAAGGTTTGTTCTGTTGTTGTGTCCTTTCCCTTCATTGCGTGATTGTTCATTTGATGCCTCAAACTGCACTTGGTCAAATTCCAGACGCTCTTCGTTTATGTTGTTTCTGCATGATAATATTGCTCACAAGCAGACAACCCTTCCAATTATCATTCACCTAGTCATGTTGCTTGCCTGCATTTGCACTCCTAGAAATGTTATCTAATTCAACCTCGAGTTTTATGCCCAACTAATCATATTGGTTATCATTTATAATGGTCGATGCCTTTCTTTGTAGATGTATGTGTTGTTAGGAGATGAAAATGCCTTTTTGGAATTTTGGTTGAATATATTTTATTGGTGGAAAACTTCGAATTTGTTGCTATAACTTTGCTGATAAGGTATGGTGGAATGAAAACTGTAAGAGGCAGAGAAGTTTGGCTTTGTATATATGAATTGCATGTATTATTGTACAAGGAACATGCCTTATAATCTTATATAGGTATGCAATTTATGAAGTATACAAACAAGAGACTGAAGCTATATAACTTAAACTCAAACCAGTAACTATTAATTATACAAGTTATAGTTAAGTCTATTACATAGACTCCTTAAAACTTCCCACCACAAGTGGAAGGTGGCTGTGAGATGACCTGAATCTTGTCCCGTAAAAAATTTAACTGAGAGACAGCAAGCTTTGGTGAGTATATCCACTATTTGATCCTTAGATGAATTAAAATGAACTCATGGTGCCTTATTTGTGATCTTGTGCTGGACAAAGATAGGTGTTGAACCAATGTTGTAGAAGGCGCTAGGCGTGCATTGGGTGCCTATGGACATTGAACATTTAATGCCACTGTCTACTCTGTTGCCTATTGCCAATTCCAAATTTCCAATTATAAATTGATTACATTTAGAAGTCCAACAATAAATTTCTCTCCAACAACAATAAATATAATGCCCAGCCCAACAAATAATTTAATACCCTAATTGGAGCCGTTTTTACCCTTGCATCCCCTCCATGTCTCTCACTCTCTCAATTCTCTGGTTCTTTGCTGCAGCTTACGGAGAAAAAGAGATATCTAGGCAACGGCGACCAAGAGCTGACCTCACTCTGGTGACCTCTAATGGCAATGAAGACCAGTGAGCAGCGAAGGAGTAGGGCAAAAGGGCGAGCAGCGAGCATTTGTGACTTGTGAGTTCTGAGTCGATCGGCAGTTAGTGATGGTTGAGCAACGAACAGATTAGCACTCCGAGCAGACGGCCGAAGGCGTAAGGTTGTTCTGAGGTGACTTCGAGCAGTGATGTTTAACTGCCTACTCGGCCGACTAGGGGGAATGGCGTGTAAATGGCTGCCTAAGTTGACTCGGCCTAGGGGAGCCTAGGAGGCTGCTTTGGCTGAGTTTTACAACACTGTGCTGAACCTGTCACACCATAGGATAGACAACATTAGATTAGTAAAACCAAGTTAACCAAATAGGAATTTCAACCATGATACTTTAGTGGCGACATAAGCTAGTCTTGTACTCGTACAGTTGAGGCACAAGATACTATATGTTGTTTTTTGGCAAACCCATATTATCAAATTAGACCTGATGTAAACAGTGAGGTCACTCATAGATTTGCTGTCATTAGCAGTCTGTCTAGTCTGAGTCAATTGAGAAACATTTTGACAGATGCAACCTACAATCCATTGTTTTATGGACATACCATAAGGGCATAAGGAATGCTTTAGAGCCATCCAATGTGCTTCAATAGGTGAGAGTAAGAGATTGAGGTGTTCCTACCAATTGTCAGTATTGCTTCAGATCTTGGATGGTGCTCCTAAGGTGGCTAACTACTTGTTGATGGGTGTAAGATTACAGACTTTTGGCAAGTCGTCATCCTCTCATCTACCAAATTTCCGCCATGTATTTTCTTTGGCATTGTAGGTTGGTTGGGGGTTTCAATGGAAGTTTTCAAACAGTACTGACATAGTCAATTAATGTAGAGCTATAATATATTTTACATAGTTATGCATAACTATTACCTGCCTCATCTGTTATATTTACTATTTGAAATTAATGAATTCGCTACTTCCATCTTCAGGTAAGACGCAACCTTGAACAAGCAAAGACCATTCTTAAGGCTCTTGTCAAGGTAAGTTTTTCTTAATTGTTAGAGAAATATCAGATAAATTTTGTTACAATTTAACTTAAACCCCAAAAAGGGGGAAAAAGGTAAAACAAATTGTGTTCTCAGTTTTGTTACAGTATATGTCTACATCCATTAGCTATGCCTAAACATTTTACGTGATTTGTGTGCAGAGAGAAGAGAAAAAGAGGGAAGTTATGGAGAGTGAAATTAACCTTCAGAGACTTCAAATGAAACATAAGGTATGGTGGAGGCTTCATCTGGTTTTCTACATTATTCCTGTTTTACATTTACAGCATGAAATGAGGGTAAACTGCATAATATGATCATTGTGAAATGAATTCAATCCCATTTACTCAGTAGCTGTTTCTGCAATTAGTACTGCTCTCTGCTTATTACTTGTGGATTCTTTCTGTTATGGTAAGTGGTTTGTTTTCTTGGCTTGACTATCATTTCCAGTGCTTTAAGTAGAGCATTTAGCTGGCAGTGAAAAGTTTCTTGTATCTGAAAGTTTATTTAGTTTCTTCTTGAGGTGCTTGTTCATGCATTTAAATATATTGTTGGTAGGAAACTCTGCCCACAATGTATCATCACCATTCCTGTCGCCTTGAAAATAGACTATAGCTAGATCTGAAATTCTAGAATTTGTGGCATTACCTGATGCTGGATTTATACAATAATATTCCTTTGCATTTCACTAGTTGGAAATTTTATTTGTCTCACAATATGAGAATTTCTTCTAAGTAAATGATCCGTTGATATAACTGGTTTTTGAATAGTTTACTAATTGATTGTTCATTGTTGTATATAGAATGAAACTGAGCTTCTTGAAGATAGCTTTGCCCTACCAGGATTTCATTCCTTTCCTAGCAAGGTTGGTTCAAGTGAGGATGAGTTTGTTGACTCAAATGGTGTTGCTGCTAGCCGTCAACATGTTCGGCCTTCTATGGTACAATCTATGACATTCGCAGACTCAAAGATGGTGGCAGTTTCCACTGGAAGCATAAGACGGGAGTTCAAACGACGTCAGACCCCATCTGGATGGCTCCAAAAATTGGTGCTTGCTTGCTCCTTTCCATTTCCCCTCCCTGGGTATAGTCGTAGTGCATGGACATTTTTTTTCGCCTTTTTGGTTTTACTTTAACAAGGGAATGTGGATGCATATAATCATATGTATGTATGTGCATATATACATATTTATGTATGTATGTGCATATAGGTAACTAGATGTTGAATAGGGATATGAAATTAAGGTTTCTTCATTTCTGACATAGGTGCACTGTGTTAGAGAAACACATTATGGAACTACCATTTCTTATAACATGGTAAATGCAGGATCCTAATGAGCCAATTCTGCTGTTCACAAAACCTCTGGATCCCGAGAAACTGGCAGCTGCAGGCATTATGCCACCAACAGATTCATCAATGGCCAATGTCATATCAGGGCGCCCATTTAATTTCCGTGGACGAATAGGCAGGGGTGGCCGACTGGTGTTTGACAGATGGAATCCACTTATGCATACTCCAATTGAGTGCGGTGATACTTTATACCTACCACCAAAGCCCCGGCCAGCCACCCATCGCTGATATGAAATGTTATTTCCAGTTTCTGAACTTGGAAGAGTATGCTCTATGGTTCTATGCTCTAGGTTTACCATAGCTCATTGTGCAATTAACATTGTATTCTTCAAGGTTAGGAAAAAGAGCACACCCTTTGTACAATTAGCGGTATTCTCGTGTTTTTTTCGAGGCTAGTCGGTAGAAAGGAAGAGCCCAACAGAGCGTCTTTGTTGCGGATTTAGCAACATGATGTTTGGAGTAAATGCGTAGATAGTGTTTTAAATGAAATGGAATTGCATCAAGTGAAGTAGAATAATTTCTCCATTGTGTTGTAAATTCTGACATTTTAATTTTCTTTCTGATCAGTTTCTCTTGGTCCTTTAAATTATGCCCAAGCTATATTGTGCATTTTCTACAATATAATGCTTTATGGTATATTCATTTATATAATCAAGTTGTATATATGTTTCTTGAGATGCTTATGACTGAGTTCTCACTTCTCAATTGAAGAAGTACAAAAGGAAGAATTTACTAATCCAATTTTTGAAGGAGTTACAAGATCAATTGGTGGAGCAAAACATATTTTGACAATTTTAAGGTTTACAGTCTCAAATACAATAATTCTTAGCCAAGAAAAAACAAATATGGCTACTTGCACATTTGAATATGAGATCAAAATAATGCTTCAACAAGTAAAGGGAGAATCATCTTCTATCAATACTCCGTTACCACGGACAATAATAATGGAGCAAATGTAGACGATAATGGTATCATTTCTGACAAAATTAAAAGATTTTGGATAAAAGAAGACCAATAACGGTACCATTCATTAAAAAAAAAAAATTAAAATTCTAATAATTTCGTGTACTTTAGCATTTTCCAATTTAAATTTGAAATTTAGAATTTGGAATATGAAATTGATATAAATAGAACCAATGCAATATCAAAAATCAACTCCAAAAATAATCCTAAAAAATCATACTCAAAGTTTGCTCTAATTTTGTATCATTAATTATTCTTCAATATCAAGTCCTAACTAAAGCCCTAACCCCTACCCTAATAAGCTTCTCGCCTTCTTCTCCAATCTCCACTCGACGTCTCCAGACTCCAGTACTCAGATACTCCGGTCAAGCGGTCAGACCTCACTTCAGCGACTAAGTGGCGACCGTACGTGACTCAGGCACTCAGCGGCTGCAACTCCTCGTCCTCAGCGGACCTCACATCAGCCCTCTGCCCTAACTCCTCGGCTCAAGGTAATTTTTTTTTTTTACATATTAAAATTAAAATTGTGTTTGGAATTTTTAAATTTTCTTTGATTGTTCATTACTATAGTATGCAAAATTTTGAGAAAGAACCAAATGAGTTACTGTGTTTGTATCATTGTGTTTGAGAAAATTAATTTTGGAGTCTGTAATTATAGAGAAAATTAATTATGAAGTCGGTAATTATGGAGAAAATTAATTATGGAGTCTGTAATTATGAGAAAACTGTATGTTCTAAGTGTTTAACCAGTATAATTGTGTAAACAATTTTGGGCACTGGACAGTGGAAACCAGTCATATTTGTATGTTTAAGTGTTCAACTAAAAGATATGCCGTCTGGTGGCAAATATATAAATACATACTTGTAGTTGGAACTGTCTTAAGGTATTCTATCAGGGGAAGACTGGAGTTCCTTATCCAGAAAAAGTAAAAACAGGAAATGAGAATGTTTGTTTTAATTATACAATTCTATTTGAAAAATGAACCAAACACACCAAGACAGTTTTCTAGAATGCAACCAAACACTATAAATGAAAATATTTTCTGAAAAATGAATCCCGAAGTCATTTTCTTGGTTTCCAAACATCCCTACTGCCCTAAAGTAACAATGGAATTCCTTCACTGCTTCACTCGCTTCACCCCTTCACGCAAAATCACAAATACTGAAATATGCCTCTACATCCTCCCCAGCCCTTCTCCAGTTCTCTGTGCTTGACGCTCGACTGCACATACGTCGACTGGGCAGAGCAGGCGACTCGGCTTCTCGCCGACCGGCATAGCTCGACCAGCAGTCATTCTGTCCGTCCGATGTCCGTCCAGCACAGTGCACAGCCTCCATTCTCCAGCGACCACTCTGACCAGCGTAGCAGAGAAAGGTTTCAATTTTATTTCTTGTAATTTAATTAATTTTGTTTCATTTTACATTTTAATTTTGATGCATTCACATTTTAATACTATGAACAGAATGGAGAATGAGGGGAAGGCAGAGCTTGGAAGTTTGCTTAAAATTCTACCACCAGTTGAATTCTGCTGTGTTTATGGCTCCACTCTTCATCCAAACAATAAAGATCAGGTTTTACTACCTACATTATCTTTTTTTTTTTTTTTCCTTTTTTTTTTTAAAAAAAAAAAAAAATAAATTATAATGCTCCTATCCTTGAACTTTGTGTCTTGAACTACATATATACTTGCTTGTTACATTGCTGCTGATTATAGTTGGTAATAATATTTTTGCTCCATTTTGCATATAAGTTCTTTAATAAATTTGCTCACTGCTATATACTGTGCTCCTTGTTTTGCAGTCTTCCAATCTGTTACATAATGTCACTTGTGGAATTAGTTACTAATATTTTTGGTGCTTACATGGTTCCCTCTTATTTTGTAGAAATCCATGGTAGATTACATTCTTGGTGTAGCTGATCCTATACAATGGCATACTGAGGTATTTCTTCAATTCCTTTGTGTTTGATGTTTGTTTTCTTTATTTTTTCCCCTTTATCCTTGCCATTTAAATGCTTTCTCTCTCTCTCTCTCTCTCTCTCTCTCTCTCTCTCTCAAGTAGAATTTAAAGACTAACAGTGATCACTATGCATCACGGCTTGTTCGCATTGGTGGAGGTAGGCTGGTACTCCTCTTGGTCTTGACATCTCTTTAGTTTCTTTTACTCTCAAATTATATCTAAATTCTAATTAATATAAATAATTCATTGTGCCTCTCACCAGATTAATGGTATTGCAAATAATGTTGGTGTTGGTATACACTTCAACCCCTTTGTTTCTTGGAATAACAAGGTAATGAACATTTGTGATAACTGGTAAGGCGCATATATGAATTCCTCATTAGAAACCTTGTGTTGTATCTTTGGCAGATGTTCAAGTATGGAGTTGTTCGAGTGCATGACTTGATCGAGGATATTCAAGGATGGGAGAGGTTCTACATGAGTGGTCGTTTGCAGAAACCTGTATGCCTCTTTGGAGAATGCTATTCTTGCCCTACTTACATGTGGGATTTTCTTTTCTTCCATAGTCATGGTCCCATCCCCAAATACATGCACCAAATTTATGGGTCTGTGTATCATAAAGTTTGCAGAACTATTAACTATAGTTTCCCTAACCTAGACACTGGCAGAACAATCAGATGCAAATATGAATATGAGCACATCAGGGGAAGGCTGAGATTATTTAGGCCTTTTAGTGTTTTTTTTTTTTTGGGAGTATATCTGTGAATTTCCAATGATAAGAAGTGTTAAGTAAGCTTTGCTAAGGAAAAGTGTAAGGTTAAAAATAATTAAATGCCTTATAGTGATTCTTGATTTTAATTTTGGTGGCTAGTGATGTCATATCACATGAATTTGATCTTTTACTCATATTTTTGTTTTATAATTCTGGAAACATAGAATTGCTTTAGGTTCTTGCCTGTGAAACCAACTCATCTCTGCTACCTTCTTCTGGAATGCTAAATATATCTTGTTGATTGTATGGTCAGTGTTAATACTGAACATTTGAAATTTTCATCTCAGGTTAATATTATTGTGGATAATTTGAATGTTGAAAATGAAAATGCTGTCAATTTGAGAGCTGCTGCATCTGCTGCTCTCCTCCTTTTGCCGTCTGAATTCTGTGAGGTTAGCCATTATAATAATTCCCAAAACCTTGATGCATACCAAAAATGTCACTTAAGTTTGGTGCTTATGCAGGAAGATTTATATGCCAAAATATGTAGCTTGTCATATATGGGTGACTTGCGGATGCTTTTTGCGGAGGACAAAAATAAGGTATGGTTGATTGGAGAGGTTTTAGATTTCTGTTGAAAGAAGAGTATTTTTTGAGTATTACCTGACATGTAAGTTCCAGAATAAGAGGGTGTAGTTTACACTAGGCATATATGTATCACATCATCAGGCCTATCGAATAAATTAAAATTGAACATTATTATCATGTGAAGCTATTGGGAGGTAAATAAAACTACTATTCAACATTTGGTATAGCGGCCCTTATTCTTTTTGGTCAGATTTGATTCTTTGTGTTCTTTCTCCTCTCTCATTTCTACCTCACACTTATAACACTGGAAGAATAAATATCTGCTATGATTGGAAACACAAATTGGGCTACAACAAAATCTATATCTGGAAAGGAGAATTAGTCAATTGGAAATTATTTTTGGATGGAGGCCTTGTGTCTTTCAACATTATCGTGCCAATCTATTATAGTGCTCATATCTCCAAGTTCTGCTACCAAAACCATTTTATTAGCTTTCAATTAATTGTAGTGAAAGATTAAACTTCTTGATTGCTTCTTGTACTTGTTTCCTTTTAGTAACTGATACATCAACTTTGTTATGCTATTAACATAAAATTTCTTTAATTACCATATTATATAGGTAAAAAATATTGTACGAGGACAATTTCACTTGTTCCAAAGAATTTATAGACCCTTTCTAGATGAATATGCTGCCAATGGCTTGCTGAGATTTTCATCAACTGGTGACAAGCAAGTAAATATAACTCAGGTCTCTCCACAATTCTCAAGCTTCTGAATTTATTTCATCTTCTTTTTATTGTTCATTGGGTTGGGGTGTCCTGATAATATTTGTTTACTATTGAATTATTGGATAATCTAGTGCCACAGACCTAGTGCAAATATAGTTTTTCATCTATTAAAATTAATAAAGAAGGTGGTTTATACACAAGGAAAATCAAATCATCATCTGGCGATCTCAAGTTGACAATTATTACTCTTTTTAAATGTTTGACATCTTTACTGTTGTCAGGTTCATACTTTTGTCTAACAAATTACAAATTATTGGCTGGAGATCTCAACAAATTTTTTTTTTTAAATTATTTTATTTTTATAACAAGTTCTTTCCTGGAGCTTAATTGCAAATTGTTAGCTGAAAATAATTTAAAAATTTCAGAGGATTCCTTAATTTTTATGGATACTTAAGATTAACTCCTGTTCTGAGATTGTGGTAGCATGTGATGTATAAGCTAAATTTCGTTGGTGACAACCAACAAACAACAGTTCACATACTAAAATGCGGGTTCTTCAATGCATGCATGTCTGCAATTAAAGTTTGCATAAAAGAGTTTGATGTGTTTTAGCATGTTAAACCAGGATTGCGGATTATCTGCTGCCACTTTCTTTGCATCACATCTTCCTCTGCCTATTAGAAGCAAAATGGATACAAATCGTGGAGAGATGAAACAATTGGATTACAGTGGTATGCGTTTCAATTTGATCAGTAAATTAACATTTTTTTTAACTTTTTAAAGCTTTGCTAGTATTATTGAGGGTGTGTTTGGTTCACACATGGGAATCGGAATGGGAATGGGAATCAAATACTTGGTAATGGTAATGGGTTTTGGTGAAAGTATTTTGCATGTTTGGTAGTAGGGTGGAATTGGAATGATTACCAAACACACCCTGAGTATTCCTTCTGAAACAAGTCCTTTAATATCCTCGTGTCTATTGTTGCAGGAAAAATTAGACCGGACATGATTATTGGTTCGAAAGAACAGGCTGCAAACTCCATGAGTAAGCTTCTTAGGCGAAAGGTTATGGTTTCAAGTGCGAGGCAGGCAGTTGCAGGTTTGCTGACTGCTGGTGCTGTTCACGGCGTCAAATATCTGGGGAAGAAGATGATCAAAGCTTGGAAATCTTGGACATAGGCCGACCTCTGGCTCTTGACCATTTTACCCCTCAAGCATACATGACCTCTCGGGCGCTGTCCTGAGCAAGGGAAAAATTTTCAATGCACCCTCTGGCCGAGAAGGCGAGAACTGTTTTGGTTTTAACGCGAAAGAGTTGGAAAAGGGAGGACGGAGAATAACCCCAGGTTAACGAGAAACTTCTGAGCCATGTGTGCCCACTCCCCACAGGCTAAAACAGTTTGAAGAACATGATTAAATCTCTTAAATTTGGTAATTACTTCCACTCGGCGTTTTCTTTTTGCCTCTTACAGACAATGTTAAGTGCAATAGCTTAAAAGCTGTCTGAATAAGTCATAAAATACCAGTCATTTTATGATGTTTTTGTACTAAATCAATGCCATTTACATTTCTAATTTATTAGTGAATAAATCCTCGAATTTCAGCATACATGTTATACAAAGTTGCTGCAGATCAACAAGTTGGTCTTTGATAGAAAAATAGAGAAACAGCATAAGGCACAATGTCTTACAATATTAGCATCATGTTGGGGTGCAAAAGAGGCAAGCCGAGCTAAATAAACAATAGGTTGGCTCGAGTTCAAATTTGATCAAGCTCGAAAATTGAAGCTCGAGTTTAGTTCGGTTATGAAACGAGCCGACTAGAGTTCGGCGAAGTTGACCGAGTTCCTTGGTTTATTTACACCCCTAATATCATGAATTTGCACACTATAGTGAATACTGAAAAAAAAGGTTATGACTTTAAGTAGAATAGTTTTTGCACGTGCATGAATACACACAATTCTTGAAGACATAATCTATCATAAGTTCATAACTATCCTTATCCCTGCAAGTATCTCTCACTTTCTAAAATGGGTTCTACTTCTACATCATCAAATTTGCCTCCCAACTTTTACTCTCTCACAAATTCTTGATGTAGACACATTTCTTGGGACTCACATGATGAAAATAGCTCATCTTTGTTTGCCATGTTGTGGAGTAAAAGTGAGGGAGTAAAATTTGGGAGTACGTGTAGTAGAACAAAAGGTACCACTGGAGCCCATCCAATCAAAGTACAAAAAGTTGCTAATTGCAAATTCTCTCTCCACTTGTTAAATGTGTCAATTCTCTCTCCTCTTGCAAAACGTTTGGCTTTAAATAAATAAATAAATAAAGACAAAAAAATAAGATTTCTCTCACTTGTGATGTCACTTGTGTATGGAGAGGCTTAGTCAACTAATTGTTTCAAGGGTGAATGATAGGGCGTGGAATGGTATTAAGTTGGCTCCTGCGGGGCCCGTATTATCTCACCTCTGTTTTGCAGATGATATGGTCCTGTTCACCGAGGCGTCCTGTGATCAAGTGGAGGTCATCCAAGAGTGCCTGGTTTCTTTTTGTCGAGAATCGGGGCAAAAGATAAGTTTGAACAAATCTCAGGTCTTCTTCTCAAAGAATGTCCACCCCAACAGAGCTCAGGAAATAGCAGCTAAGCTGGGTATCGAGGAAACAAAAGATCTAGGGAGATATCTAGCTGTGCCATCTATACATGGGAGAGTAACTTGCAACACATACTCGGGTCTCCTGGAGAGAATCTCGGCCAGGTTGGAAGGATGGAAAGCAAAGACACTCTCTTTAGCAGGGCGGGTCATTCTTGCAAAATCAGTCCTAAATGCCATTTCTATCTACACTATGCAAACTGCAGCGTTACCGAAAGGTGTCTGCAACGAAATTGAAAAGAGGACCCGTCGGTTCTTGTGGGGCCGCAACGAAGCTACAGGAGGAAACAAGATGAGCCTTGTTAATTGGGACACGATCACAACGGAGAAAGTTAAAGGTGGCCTGGGTTTAAGGAATATGCACGCCATGAATATTGCTTGCCTATCTAAGTTAAACTGGAGAATTAGAACGGAACCCAATGCTAGTAATAGTGTTATCATGCGTTTTAACTTTTAATTCCTCAAGTGCCGATCTTTGCTATTTTTGGTTGTGAAATTCAGTGTCTTTGAGGAGATAAAAATCAAGCCGCCCACTACCTTGCTAAAGCAAATGGGGTTTGGTTATCTCATTCGAAATGGTCGGATACTCCAGATTTCATAACCACTTTCGTTTAATATTAGTTCGAGATTTATTACCCAAAAAAAAGTAATAATGTTATCATAATTAGAATTACTTAGAAAATACAAATCATTCATTCATTTTTATATATATATATATATATATATATATATATATATATATATATATATATATAGGGTTGCATTCACATGCAAACACCTCTAAAATACAAACATGTGGACATATATCGTGCACACACTTAAATGCGGGTGTGCACACATCTGCGGACGACAGTGCACACACCTAAATGTGGGTGTGCACACATCTGTAGTATGCATGTGTGAATTCACAGTATTTGGGTCAGTGTGCACACGTCCATGAACGACAGTGCACACAGGCGGACACAGCACAAAAAAACATAAAAATTAATCACAATCTTAGATATCCAAAATCTAACGATCCATAAATGTCCACACGTTTGTATTTTAAGCCCTGTTTTTACATGAATGTAATTCTATATATATATATATATATATATATATATATATATATATAGTGTATGAATAATCTATTCCCTGTTTCATCTTCTTCTGTATCAGCCTTTGAAACTCTACTAACCCTTCTGGTTTTGGTTCTGATGGCTTCGGACTAATCTAATCTGCAAATAAGACTTTTGAAAGGGGTGAACAGAACTGCATAATGTACTTTCAATACTCAAATAATGTACCTTTAATATACAAATAATGTACATTTAATATAAATGTAATTTTTATTCATGGTTCATACAGCTATGTTGACCATGGTCCACATAAAAATTTGCCATATTTGTGTGTATACTTGCATAGTTTGCAGCACCCTCCCCACTATAGTTGTTGAGAGGATGCAAATCACTCATTGTTCCCTCCCTAGTCTTTCCACCCATTTCTGTTTTGCTGAACTGAACAAAGGCTCTTACACTTATCTAAGCAAACCAAAATTCGACCAAGACTCCTCGTCCTCGATATGCATTCTCATCTAATGTCTGTCAGTTGGTTTTAGATTCGATGGAAAGCCGTAAGCAAGCAAGCCCCGACCCACAACAGAACAATGTTATGTTTTAGCGGGGAGTGAATGCGTCTTGGAATCAACTCAGTCCTCGATGACTGCATGCTCGAGCAAATGTGCATCACGGCTGCTGGCCTCATGTTTGGCGCCAAAAATGATACTTACCAAGAAAGCAGTTGTGATCAGCAAAGCAACCCGTTTCTTCTCAGAGGAATTTGGAAAGGAGATTGATATAACATTTCGAAACCCGACAGCAGCTTTCACTTTTTGGTCCTTTAAGAATGCAATCCTTTACTTCCTTCCAGAAATGATCAAAAGATATAAATAGATTTGATTAGGTAATGCTCAAGAACTCATTTAGCAACTAAATGTTGAAACAGTAATATTCTATTAACGAACCGAGATCAAGAAACCAACCTTGTTAGCAGAGCACCCGCTTGCCGGAGCCAAACAGCTAAAAGCTGTTCCAAAAAGTTGTTTAGCAAACAAGGCCTATATCACAAAGAAACTGGGTTTACAAATAGCTACTTTTGAGGTTGAAAGTGCTTTTTTCCCTTCAAAAGATAAACTCTTGAGTCTTGATTTACAAGGAAATGGAATCCCACAGTTATCCGTGAAAAGAAAATAACACTAAGAAATAAAAGCTGCGAAAAAGTAAGTCATCTCACCGATAGAGTCACAGGAATAGGTCGTTCCAACACTTGTTGATGGCAACTTGAACCTTCTTAGGTTTGCACAGCTCTCGGACGATTTTTTCCCAAGTTGATAATTTAGGGTACAAAGCTTTCCGAAGCATCACTTCGATAATATTCGATGCTCCAAGAATTCTCTGTCGCTTGAGCAGTCGTAGCACTAGCTCATCCAAAAACTCTCCCCCACTTTGGGGTGGGTTCAGCTTCTCGTTCAAAATTGTCAAGAAAATGTTACATGTAACCAAATCGGGGTCACAGCCTTGATCCAACATGTTATTTAAAAGATCTATGGCACGGGAAATCCTATCCTGCTTGCACAAAGCGTTAAAAAGTATGTTATACGTTATTACGTCGGGTTGACTATTAGATTCCTTACATACCATCTCGTGGAAAAAATTTAGTCCTTGTTCCACCGACCCGGCATTGCAGAGGCCATAAATCATCGAAGTGTATGCCACAACGTCGGGGTTCCAACCATTCGTAATCATTTGCTTCCACACCATCATAGCCTCTTTCACTTTCCCGTCTCCACAAAGTCGGGATGAGTACACTATAGCAAACTTCGTTAGGTAAAATATTCCGATCTACCATATCTTTCCACGCCAATATCGCCTCGTTAGTTTTACCGGTTTTAAAAAAACCCTTCTTCAGAGAGCTGTAAGTCCAAGCATTTGGAGTGCAATCCATATTAATCATCTGCGATAGAATCTCCCGGGCTTCATCGGGTCTGCCTTCCCGACACAAGCCATCGATAAGAGCGGAATACACGATCGTATTTGGCTTGCTTCCCTTCTCTATCATTTCGTTCCACAATTTTAACGCCTCCTCGGATTTTCCCTCCTTGAACAACCCGCTAATTAGCGAAGAGTAAACATATTCATTTGCTCGATGTCCTCTTTCCTCCATTGCCCTAAATATACACGCGCCATCAACCGCTCTTCCTTGCTTGACAAGACCGTTGATGATAGTTCCATACGTTATATCATTAGGAACGTGTTTATTCGATACCATTCTATGCAACAAACTAATCGCCTTATCCAACTTCCCTTTAAGACATAGGCCATGAATAAGCGTGTTATAAGTCACTTCATTAGGAACGCAACCTTTAAGAAACATGTTTTCTACGAGCTTTGAAGCTCGACCCAAATCGCCCTTCTTGCAAAGCCCGTTAATCAAAACATTAAAAGTCACCGGAATAGGAAAACATCCCTCTATCTGCATTTCATCCAACAAAGTCACGGCCTCATCGATCCTATCGTCCTTACACAACCCATCCATCAATGTGCAATACGTATACACATCCGGCTTGCATTCCCACTCGGGCATTTCCCTAAACACCTCCACCGCTCTATCTACCATCCCTACCTTACACATTGCTTTAACAATCAGGTTAAAAGTCAATACATTTGGCTCGACGCCCCTCCTATCAACAACATCGGAGTAAAACTTCAATGCTCGGTGATATAAACCCGACTGTATTATCACATTAAGAACTGAATTAAACGACCTAACAGTT